ACGCAGTGTGCAATGCCTTCGCTTTACACGACGTATGTGAATGGAATGTGATTGTTGTTCTGGCGAAGAATTCTCACAAGTAGCATGCACATGCACATGCACATTTCGTAATGTGCACAAGCTCCGCTGCAGCCACTTCATTTTAAAAGAGGACAACCTTACACGCACATACACACACACCATCTTCAATTTAATACAAGTGGTCTCTGCGCTGCAAATTACAATAATTCTCCTTCTCATTTTTGGCCAGGAGCCATCATCAGGATCATGCACATGGACATGTACATGTACATTCTACTGTAGCTGTTTCACGACACACTTTGTAGACAAGTAAATGCACAGTGGAGAGACATTGTCCTTCGCTGTTTTCTTAACATGGAAAAGTATGACCTCCATTTTTTGTTAGACTAGGGTGAATCGGGGAGCCAAGGATTAATTAACAAGAAGAAAAGAGGAACAAAGAGCTACACGTTACGCTATAATATCCACGAACACCACCAGTTACTTTACAATCAGCTCATGCGATAACATTGTACGACACTGACCAACGATACTGACTTTCTACAACTAACTGGCAATCAGCCCCCTTCTTAGGTTATTTCTATAACTTGGAACCTTTCAAACTGGAAGACTATTGGAGTGCGCATCCAATACTTCAGCGGATTATGTTTATTGCCATCGTTAAACAGATAAATTTTGAAAGGATTGGGAGAACTCCAAATTCAAAGGATCAGTCGGGGAAGTGAATTGCCTGAAAAGAGAAAAAAACGCCAGACCCACCAGGACTCGAACCCGGGACCTTGCTTATCATGAGCAATGCTCCAACCTCTGAGCTATGGAATCAGGCTGAACCTAGAGGGTGCTGACAAATTGTTCACTCGAAAGGCAGCTCACAACAGTGGTCAGAGCATTGCTCATGACAAGCAAGGGAGATATTCCGAATTTCAGCCGGAGAATAACTACATGGTTGTTGTGAGTACTAAGGTCTTAGAGTACAACGCAAATTGACAGAGGACTACACACAGCGAATTTTTGTACAATGTGCAATGTACATGAATAATCGGCCAGGAGACAACAACTTTTGATATCGCAACAACGAGGACTAGCTGAAGCGAAAATGTTAAGCGATGGAAACGATGCGAAAACACTATAAAAGTAAAACAAATACATTATGGAAAAGAAAGAACGATGAAAAAAATGATCTTAACTAGTTGTCGCACAACACTCATAAGGAATCACAAGTTCTTTCCATCGTTCTTTTTTCCTACCAGCTGCGACGAACGCGACTACTTGAAAAATAATTCGAAACTGTCCAGCTGTTCACACTGCGCCGATATCCACCGCACCATAGCCAGGAATCACACCATACCATAGTTAAGAATGTTCATGATCACTACGTGTGCAGCCTTTGGTGTGGTGAAAGTGGGCCAAGACTATAACGCAGGTGCAGAGATGAACAGTTTCAGACTATAATGTATGCTAGTGATAAGGTCGATTGTGCCATAGTTCTGACAGAGCTTCGGATTACCAGACTTGGGGAGGAGTATCAAGTCAAGATAGACGTTGACCACGTTACCAGACTTGGGGAGGGGTATCAAGATAGACGCTTACCACGTTGCCAGACTTGAGGAGGGGTATCAAGATAGACGGTGATCCCTGGTGATGTTAGTGCTCTCCAGGCACAAACATCACCAGGGATACAAACTTACAGAGACGCTCCGTTTCCAGCGCGACAAATACCTCATGAACACCAGATAGCAGCGTGAGTCAGTGTTGCTCCTGGACGGTGAGACAGACGTCGAGGCCCCACGGTCATTCGCAACGCTGTCACCTCCAAACCAACTACAGTAATCCTGATGCTCTGATACATGCCGAGGCTAGCTGTATGCTCAGTCTCCGGCTAGCTGTATGCTCAGTCTCCGGCTAGCTGTATGCTCAGTCTCCGGCTAGCTGTATGCTCAGTCTCCGGCTAGCTGTATGCTCAGTCTCCGGCTAGCTGTATGCTCAGTCTCCGGCTAGCTGTATGCTCAGTCTCCGGCTAGCTGTATGCCCAGTCTCCGGCTAGCTGTATGCTCAGTCTCCGGCTAGCTGTATGCTCAGTCTCCGGCTAGCTGTATGCTCAGTCTATACATTCTTGATCTTATCTTCTTTTTTTCTTTTTTTTCCTTTCTCTTTTCTTTAAAATGTTTTACTGCCAGAAGTCGTCTTCATATAAGGAGGCAGACATGCCTGTTTGTTGTACGACTTTAAATAAATCCAACCAACCAACTACTAGAACCAGTACATACTTTGGAATTACGTGACAATGAAACCGACCTGACATTCCTTGCCGCTACTGCCATTCCAGACGAGGCCAATGTAGATGTCAATACCAAAGGCACGTCCGTTAATGGCGCTGCCTGCTACGATGATGCTCCCTTTGACGTTCCAATGGCTGTTGATGTTGATGATTATGATTATGATGAAGAGGAGGAGAGAGATGAGGAAGATGCTGACGACGACAACGACATAATAATATTAAATAATAATAATAATTGTAGAAGAGAAAAGGACATGTGGATACGAGTTAAGAGTAACTCTCCATCACTGTAACATGATACTATATACAGTCAGAAAGTGCTATAACTAGGAACAAAACTGACAGAGTACTGAGACATTCGACGTTCTGACACCTAGCTTCAACACATCTCCGTAGCGCTAACCGACAGCCTTCCAACTTGGAAGGTTCAAGGTTATGGAAAGACCAAAGAGTGGAAGGCAAGCGCAACGAAAACGAGCAAAAGCTGCAGTCTCAACGGAACAAAGAATGTCGATTGTTACTGGACGATGACGAGACCAGTACGATATTTGACAAAGCGGTCTAACTACAATTCGAAGCAGCAAAGCAGCACACCACCCAACTTGGGTGGGTCATAAATATCAAAGATAAGTAAAGAAAGGGAATATTTGAACAAACGGCGAGGAGACAACAATTTGATAACCGCAATCAGTAATACAAGCTGGATCGACATTTGCGTACACTGTATTCATGTATTGTAAAACTGTGGAGACAATGTGCAATAAAACAATACATGAATCCAGTGTACGCAAATGTCGATCCAGCTTGTATTACTGATTGCGGTTAAAGAAAGGGAAGCTTTGCGAAAACGAATTGTACAAGCCGAAAGCCAAACTCCTACAGTACTCCTCATGCATGACATTGTGATGGACTAGTTTACTACAAAACAAGTTGTTTCACACGACGTACGTTTCGCCGTATGGTTCGTGACGGCTCATCAGGTGTGCAAGGAGATGTGTTGAAGCTAGGTGTCAGGACGTCGAATGTCTCAGTACTCTTGTCAGTTTTGTGCCTAGTTATTGCACTTTCTGACTGTATATAGTATCATGTTACAGTGATGGAGAGTTACTCTTAAAGGGAAAAGAAAGGGAAGACAGGGGCTCCAGTGCAGGCTCCACACAGACATCGTGGGCTACTTCCCGCAGCAAATTGGCAGTGAGGTCGCGAATCTCATTGTACCGCATTCCAGGGAAGCCACCAACTGAACACGACAGTACATGCTTCGTGTCAAACTGCTTGCCGCAGACGCAATGGGTTGGCAGTCGGGGAGGGGTCCAGCCGTATCGTAGGCACAAAGCATCGCGAAATCCCGACTTCGGCATCGTGAACTGAAAGCGGCGAGATGGCCGACACGTGAGCCAACTTGAGGCACCCTTCTCCGCAGCCAGATCCAAGATCCTTTGGTCGTCCGGACTGAGCTGGTCCCTGAAGGAGGACAGGGCCACAGCTTGATCATGTCGTGTAGTCACACGTACATCCAACTTGGCGGCTTTTATGGCAGCAAACATGGCTTCAGTGGATTCCTCCTGCTTCAGTAGCCTCTCCACTAGTGGTTTGGTGATGGAGACAGAGGCGGAGTACTGGCTGGATAAACCGGTGGGGATGATGAGTCCCAGACCACCATTGCGACAGGGGAGCGATAGCATCGTGCGCTCGCTTTCACCCGGAGCTTGGCGACCAGTGAGTGCTGGCATAAAGATGAGGCGGATGGCTTGTTCCAGGGGCACAAGGAGATCATTGATAGCAGTCATTGTCCTGGCCAGAAAAGACAACTTCTGCCATAGGGCATGAGTGAAGACGGCATAGGCTGCTTGAGGCCAAGACGTGTATTTCGTTGCACCACGACGCGACCTTCTGGGACACGTACTCAGAGCAGAATTGATCTGTGCCCAGACCAGCACCGAGATGACGATAACCATCCGTCCTGATGTCAACCCCAGAGTTGGCAAAGAGTTCTCTTGCCAATTCCAGGAAACGAGGCTTGACAAGCAGGACGACTTGGACGGATTGATGTTGTAGCCGTACTTGCTGCCTCGATCGATCAGGATGGACAACCATGTACGTATCCTGCGCAGGAATCCAGCTGATGTGGCATCATCTGCATACCATGACTGTATTGTGCCAGCAGTTGAGGCTTCCCTGATGAGAGGCACCGTACCTAGTGCATACAATGGCATCGCAAGGGGGTCGCCCTGCGTTGTGCCTTCCGATGACATAATAACTTCTCCTCCAACATAGAGTTGAGCAGGTGACCGGTAAGTGTTGATAATTGCTGGTGCCAGCTCCGGACATAGTCGCTGCACATTGCGCAGGCATACTGCACGGTTGATGCAGTTGAAGGCGTTGGCTGCATCTGCGAATAGGACACCCTCCGTCTCGTCATCATCGTAGGTCAATTTGATTGCATGGATGGCAGCCTCTACACCACCCGCTTGACCTCCACAGAGTTGTAGGCATCCAACAGCACTCTCCACGGCTGGTCCAACGACTTTAATGATCGCCTTGCCAATAATTCGACGGACCACTTCGCCTATTCCGATCAGCGCATTCCTACCAAAATC